AGCACTGTTCGTTGTTACGTAAAGACCATGCATAACAGAGATTCTGACACTTGGTATCATTTTTCAAAAATTAATCTATCTTGCCTTACAGACAAACTGACAGCTTCCGAATTACTCGTTACGTATCGAATTTTTTAATTATTTTACGTATAGTAAATTGAAATAGTTCTACCGATATAACATGACAGTTGAAAGAGAATTGAGACATTCTCAAGCCCGGATTACACGAACTGCAACATCACTTGAACCAGTGATGAAAGTTTTAAAATTCAAAATATGTATGAGATTCCAGATTACGCAATTACTACATGTAAATTGGGGTCGAATCAAAACAGGTGCTCTTTGCGCCATGTGGTCGTTGACGTTCCCCGAAAGGTAATCGTTAACTCTTGCAAGAATTCCCCGCGACCAACGTTCCACCGTTAAACAAAGTTCTCAGTTTACTCGTATCGCGGGGAAAAATTTCAGCGAAAACGACGCTTAACGATCCGATGAACGAATCCGGTGTGCTCGATCCCTCGAGCACGAACACGCGCAACACGTGCGAATGATCTTCGCGAAATTCACCGAGAAAACGCGGAGAGGTCTTAAATTCCCAGTATTTTGTAAACTGCGACCAGGACCCGCAAGAAACAGAAGCTCGCGTACGCGGACAGCCCTCGAACGATAACGTTAATGGACTTCATTTACATTGCATGATTACACCGCGCGAGCAGCTCGCGTTTGGACCATCCGCTCTGACGAAGCTACGAAATGCGACCCCCGAATGTTCGTTTGTAGCGTACAGCTTCCGTTCGACACGACGAAATAATGACGCGTGCTTCGAAGAAACGTTTGCGGCACGTGAGCCTGAATAACATTACGCGAAACTGTTACTTCGTCGAACCGATCGATCCCAAATGGTCTCGATCGGTTCGTTGTTCAGTGGGTGATGACTCTGAGAACTTCCACGAACTGAAATTCTGTAACACTGTCTGTTAGGGTGGTTGGTTCCCATAGAGAATTTGTTTACTCATGAACTGGATATTAAATGACGCGATGTCAAATTGATTTGGGGAAAATTATACAATAGTATGAAACTGTTGTTTAACAGATATTAGAGTTCTTCCATTGTGAAAAATATTGCAAGTGCAGGTCACCAGTAACAATGATTTTTCAGTCTTCCCATCGAGATGAAAATATAATTATATCACGGAATTATAATGAAACCAAACAAAATTTTATGGGTATTCAAAGTACTAATGCGTCTTCTGAGAGTCTAGAATGATGTAAATGGAATGTCAAAGTTCGTGATTCCTCGACAGGCGTATTATGTCCGATCGACTTGGATTCTTTATCGTCCGCCACTTGTTAGGCGGTAATTTTTCGCGATAACGCGAAACGCAGTCGGGAGCACGGTTCACCTATCCCAGATGCGAGATAGCGTGTGGCTAGTGTCACTTTGCACGACGTTGCATGCGAATGCAAATCGTCGGCGCCCATTATGCGCCAGCCCGTCTCTACGTCTCGCGACGCACTTTCGCTGCAAACGCGTGTGTAAATACCGCGTGTATCGTCTGCATCGCGAACGACGACATCGATGCCGTCGCATGAATGGAAATTACGCTTATCTCGAACGCACGCTGACGAAAGTAGCGCAGGGTGAAGTTTATCAAATGTTTAATTTTTTCGAATGCCCAAAAATTCCAGTAAATTCTGTGTGTCGTCAAAATCGTCAAGTTTGACACGGTAACTTATATAGGGTTCCAGAACAGTCAAAGAATAAAATTTCTAGTTGACGTATACAAAGAATTCAGATTCAATTGAGTTCATTCATTAGAAGTGAAAGTGATAAGGAAAATCATATTTAAAAGGTAGAGTCTGCATTTGAGAAATAGACATTTTTATATCTGGTTCAATTTGCTATTCAGTCTATACAGTCTATACCTTGTCCAACGAGACGAGACAGTAGATGGATAGTTCCGTCTTTTTATTAATCGACTATTAATATTGACTTTGGTTTGCTGTCTCGTTTCGAGAAAATTCCGCGTTGAGAACCACTGTGTGTTATAAATGGGGAAGGACTGCCAGCTGCGTGGAAAGAATAGTAGGACGCGGCTGCCACCATCGAGGGGTAATAAATCCCTAAAGAAAGAAATCTATACTTGGGTCCAACGAGTCGAGTCCGTAGGTGTAAACAAACGCTCGAGATCGACATTTGGGCGGGCCAAGCCCGTCCCTGAACATCAACAATTGCGTTTGGCAGCCAATATCTGGAACCGGTGCATCTATCAAGCAATTTACACGCGAGCGTTTTGTTTATCTCTAGCTAGACTCGTTGCACGTAGCGTAGAGGCGTAAGATTAGATGAACGAGAAAACCACGTAACAGACCCGTTCTATCCACCTACCATTCAATTTCCTATTTGGTAACTCTCCCCTGGTCAAACCACGTTATTCACCTTTTATTTTCTTATCATTCTGGCAAGACTTTTCCTAAGAAATTTCAGTAAACCGAACTTGTTGAAGAACCATCGAGAGGTGTAGCTCGATAAATGCATTTTGAGTGACCATAGAGAGAGCCATTCACGATTGCGAAAATTTCTATGACGTTCCATTAAAAATATTGAAAGGGTGAGCCCCTCCTCTTGATGGGTTCAACAGCCGTGCCGTGTGCATCATGTAAAAGGTCCCTTTATACCCTAATGCTGCGCAAGAAATCTTTTCGCTATGGTATTTTCCGAGAAAATAGTTCACTTCAAAAGGGAGACTTTGTGCATTTAAAAATTAGAAAAATTGTTGAATTCCTTAATTATGCATGTTTCTAAAGACAAAGATGCATACGAATCTCAAAAATCATCCCTCATCCTTCCTTTCTTGTGGTTTTAAACTTCGTTAAACCAATATTTGCCAATTTTTTTTTCGTTAAACGTATCGTCTTTCATAGTATTGCGAGTCCATATATTCGTTTGACAAATTGGGACACTTTCTAACGCGGATAATATTCCATCCGTTACGAAATACTTGGATTTCTCGATTCATGGACATCTTCTGCAAACTGACGTAACAATTTTAGCACTCTTACAATCGTTGATCTCCCTCGTTTGCAACCTTGTTAACGCTTCCGAAGAAGGCAATTTTCAAAGGTCACTCGATTCAAAGTAAAGAAAAAAATTTCAAAGACGTAACTTCACCCATACGATTATGCACAGGGTGGATTCAGAGGAATGTCACGATATTTGTAAATTTATGCTAATAAACATGGACCAGTAGGTTTTTCTTTCTTTTATAATTGCATTGCTCGGACGAATTTCTTGATATTTCTTTTAATATTTCTCGTGTGAACTTTAAAAGCATAATATCTATTAGAACGAAAAGTATATTTCAAACACGAAAAGCTTGTTGGCTCGTATTTATTTAGGCTCTTTTCCTCGATTCTCTTTTAAACTCATATATTAATACGAAATGCAAAGCACACGAGTTCGCATTAACACTCTCGTAAACCTAGACACACCTGTTTCCGTAGGACAAAATAAATACAATAATTATCGTAATTTCCTACTTGTAAATTTTACTATTTATTTACGTTTCTGTTTAATATCGATGAAGCCGTTAGACAGAAATAGCGTTTCCTGTAAGGTAAACAAAACATACATTTCGTGGACCCTAGGGACTGTGTCTGCTGTGTCTAATGGATAATAGCTAGCGATGGGGTCGAAACATTTATGATGGAATTTTAAACCCTCGTATCTCGTTGTAGACGATCAAAAACCGAAAAACAATACTATTGCAAATAGCAAAAGAATTTCAAGCCTCATTTTCTTACGTATCATATTTACTCTACTAAAAGTATTCCTATCAAAGCACCTTCAAGATTAGTCACATCCGCTCTTCCGTTCAAATCGACAATGAGCAGAGTAAAGGCTGCTCATAGTGACCCCATTAATAAAATCTGCAATCTAGCAAATAGCCTTAGGCGTAGAGTTTTTCTCAGGTTCAATGGGTTCGTTTAGACACTGCATTATCAAAGCACTGATTGAACTATAGTTGAACGTATTAGATGTAACAAATTGTACTAATTTCACTGTTGTGCAGAATCAGCCACGAGCCTACTGAATTAATAAATAACCTACCGATAAATTTTTGTGGAATTTCTATTTCACACGAAATTGAAATTCAACGAAGAATTGTAAAAATAATTAATAAATGTACAATGTGTGAGCAAATATTTATTTTACATATATTCGTGTACCCTGAAATATTCTTTATTCGTTTCATATTACTATTTATTTTATCGAGAAAATCTTCAGAATCCATTCCCTATATTGGCTACATTTCTCTATTGTTTAATAAATAATATCAGTGTTAGTAATATATAAATCAAAACAAAAACAAAACTAGTCACGGATAAAAAGATGTTTTGCAATATATTCCATACAATCTACTCATAAAACTCTCTGGTAATCAAATTAACAAATTTCTTCCCAATTAACACCTGTACAACCATCACAGCGTGCGTTGTTGCAATCATAGTACGCGCGAACGGTGCGCACGCGCTGGATATTTGAACATGCCGCGACAAGTGTTTTGAGAATAGTGAACGAAAACGACGGTAAAAAGACCACGCTTTTAACGTTCGAGCGTAACAAAGAGCAGCTACTCTCCACCGAGAGAATTCGTCCCGATCGAGGGGCTGGTTCCACCGTACTCCTCAAACTTCAGATAAAATTAGAGACTATGTTTCGGTATGGCAGACGCGAGCTGTCTTCCTCTACTTCTTTTTAAGCCGCGCATTCGCGAGAATTCGTCTCGTTCAGACACACCGCGTTGCGACCAGGGAGCACCAATTATAACTTGGTCGTTTCGCGATCCGCTCCGACCTAACGAAGACGCCGCGCATCGAGTAAACAACGGTTTGTCGCGAGACGAAACAAACTTCCCAATTAGCTGCTCGAATGTCGGATATAAAAAATCCCTATCGTCGCCGGACATCGAGGATTCGACGTTTCTTCGAACACTTACATAGCTTCTGTACGACGCCATGATACAACTATGCTCCCCTCCTCGAAAGCGAAAGATCCCAAGAACGGAGGGCGAACGCCTCCGGGGGTCGCTTCCTCGGTCCCGGATTCACCAACCACCATCAACCACCGGCACCACCACCATCGACGACACCAAACTACCACCAGCACCGGGACACCAACACTGTACACCACCCACCTGGAGAAGAGCACCGCGTTCCGTTTCGCCCGCGCCGCGTCACCGCTCGAAACCCGAAAACGAAAACGAAAAGAGTAGAGAAAGAGGAGCAAGAGATAGAAACCGCGAAGAGATCGGAGAAAGAGTCTCGGGAGAGGTGAAGCGTGGCGAACCGATCGAGGAACGAACGGTTCGACGAAGCGTCGTCCCCGGCGGCGCGGTCTCGTAAGAGAAGAAGGAGGAAGAAGAGCGCTACGGAGGCGCTTCGTTTCGGACGAAGCTCGGACCCTGAAGAGCCGGCGACCCGCGAGGCACGTCGTATTCCCTCTCTTTCTCCGACTTCGCGTCTCTTTGCTGCTCTTCCCAGCGCTCCCGTTTCGACGACCGTCTCCTCTCCTCGTTCCTCACCCATCGCGTACGCGTTTCCCTCCTCCGCCACCTCCTCCCATATATCGGCTTCTCTCGTTCATTCGCTTCGTTCAGTCGAGCCCTATTTTAAGAATAGCTTCGCGTCCTCCGTTCCGCCGCGTCGGGCTACTCCGGCGCACCAACAGCTTCCGTGCCCGCCCGACTTCGACGAGGCCCCGTACCCGCGGCCTTCCGACGGGAACTTGGTCCGCGAGGACGAATCTCGCGACAAGATTTACGAGGGTGCACCACTAGGACCGTTCGAAACCGGGGCTCGCGGACAGAGGATCCTAATCACCCCCTAACCTTAACCCAGTTAACCCTTTCACTGCGCTGCTCTCCAGGAGAGAACCACCGATACGCGGTGTTGTTTATTCCTATCTTCTGCAAATCTACAATCGGCATTTCTGATCCCTTAACCCTTTGCACTCCTGCGTGGAGCGTGACTCGACATCGGTTCTTACGTCAGATGCTCCTTTGTCGAGTCCCGCTCGACAGTTTTTCAAATTCAAACCGATAGAATTCAATTTCGAACGAGAAAAAGCATCACTTCCGTAAGCTTGCTCCAACAGTTCAAACGATTCCGTGAATGTTCTCCCCAGATTTACGCAAAATTTCACGTTGCATCGTTGCACTCAAATAGCAATAACTCGGAAACTAAACAAGATGTAAACAATTTGTAAAAAAGTCAGTTACGCGGAAGATTATGACAATTGCAGTGCTATGACGGTACGCAAACATACAACTAAAAAAGTTCGGTAATTTTTGGAAATTCGCTTGGTCCAGAGGGCTGTTTGAGTCGAACGCAAGAGTTTATCTTGTTGCAGTTTCCCGATACGATTCCCCCTTTTCCAGGACCCGGGTGTCCTTTGCTAAGGGTTTGTTCGAAGGTATCGAGGAACTCGTGCTTCGATAGAGCTCGTACCTCGGAAGAATGTCTTGCGAACGAGTAGCTACGCTTTGAGACGAGGGAAATTATTCCACGGAGGAATATTTTCAAGGGAACCGTTCCCATCGAGCACTTTGAAGAACTATTGTGCCCCGAGAGGATTTTGAACGAGGAGAATTATTCTTAAGAGTATCGGGCAAACTCGAATGCGATTACTCCCCTAATAGGTTTTAAGGGTGGATGGGGCTTTTACTTAGGACGATGTAAATTGTCCAGGGATACGATGAAAAATTGCAAGGCATTAAATTGCCCCGAGTTGCTCAATGTAACGCACCGGGCTTCAACAAGATATTCGATTAAAGAGAATAATAAAGTTCGGGGGAGAGATTTTTACGTTATACTTTAAATTTTATCAAACATTTTCATTAATCGGATGGGAAAGATAAGGAAAAACGTTATTATCATCGTGCAGTTCCCAACGAGATTTCCTGCACTTGCGTTTAACTTTTTTCAGGACATGCTTGAGAAGCTACATCGAAATGCAAAGAAATGGGTTTGAGTACCGTCTTCAAAAATTAAATTTGCAAGATTAACAGAGCGATTTTCACGCTAACTAATGAATGAAAAGGTTTGAATTTTATGCCATTAAAATTTTTTCGATCAAAAATCAGATTTGTAGTTAAATTATACGTCTCAATATTGACTCTATTTTCTTCTATATGTATATGTTTGAGAATGATGTGGTAATCGATTTATAGAATAACGTTAACGAAATAAAGAGTGACCATTACACAGTCAAAATATAAATTCGATATATTATGCTATTCCATACTAGACACATACAGTATTCCATATTACAAGGACTATGAGCCTAATATGGAACATGAAGACCTCAATAAAATAAGTAAACATTCCCTAAACCACTGTTACATTTTAAATTTGTTACCAGTCAAAAAAGCACTATAAATTCACAATATTTAAGTTTTGCAAGCAAGTGGAACATGTGTATAAAGAAAAGAGTTTCACACGAGGGCAACTGACCCTATCATTAAATTTCCTCTCGCACACTATAATGGTTAGTCGTATAATAAATAGGTAAATGAAGAAAACGGACTTCGATCGCGAGGACCCCGTAGAAGAGTATAATATTGGGGCCGCGAGCGTCGGATGCGACGGTCTCAGAATTCTGCGGAGGACGCCGCGGAGGAATCCGAGAGGCGGGGACAAACTACTGGCAAAACTGGCGTCTTTGTCCAGGAAATGAGGCCAGTGTTGCCACGGGTACCGTTTCTGGCGACTGGATTCTCCGGACGGTCCCTTTGTGCGAGCCCGCGGAACTCCTCGAAAACGGAAACTCCTCCCGAGGAATCGACGGGAGAAGACCACGAATGGGGACTGGCTCGTGGTACGTTCACGGAAAAGGAGAACGGTCCGGAAAAAGGCGAAATAAAGACGGCGAAACGACCATTGTTTTTCTAGGAACAACCCCTGCCTTACTCCTACGGAAGTCATCCGGGGGGAGGGCGAATTAAAGCGACGAGAATTGTTTTGCTACGAAACGGAGGACATTTCCTGCCCACGAGGAGGGCACGAAGCAACGTCGAATGGATTTCGAACCGGCGAAGCTAATTACAGGGATGTTCGAGGTCCCCTCGACGTAAAATTGAATCGTCCGCGACGAAGTTGCCCCTCGAGGTAAGAGGTGGCCAGGTATCGGAGTCATTATTATAATCGATTCGTATCGAAGGAGCTACGATTATTGGAGCACTTCGAGTAGCAAACGGAGACGTCTTGCGTCTTTGGGAAATCTTTGTGGTGGCTGTTGAATTATTCCTTACGATTTAAGGGTTCCCTCGCGCTGATCACGAATGGGAATCTAATTGAATCTGTTATCGGTCGAGCACTTGTTTCTTCGATGCAATTTAGTATTTATAAAATGTGAACATTAACGGTAAATTTGGCGCGGCGAGAAGGACCAATGGAAACTTATTATTTTATAATAATCTTCTTTTGAAACTCACTTGAACTTTTCCTGAATATTAAATTAGTAATAAATTCGATCGTGAAAAATATATAAAAATAATGACCCCGCGAGGTCCAACGAACCTAAACTGAAAATTCATAGTAAATCGGTTTTCGTGCTGCCAACTTTCGAGGAACGTCAGAACGAGAGCCAGAAGCGAGAATCTCTGCTTTGATAAACCAGACACTGTAGAAACGGGTCGAAATTACAGACAAAAATATAGAATAGATCATTAAACTGAATATTCAGAACCACTTTTCTATCATTTACAATCTTCAGAATCGAATAAGATTGCAGCGTGATTGACAACACAAACTACTAATGTCAGAAAATATTGTATTAACAGCACGATGCCAAAATAAATGTTGAATTTAAAAATTCTATCCACTCAAGAGCAAATGGAACTCTGACGATTTTACATTTAATCGAGACACTATCAATTCTTGAATTACTGTAATCTCGTGAAAAGGAGCCGTACAATAATCTTCCTGGTATTATTTTAAAAATTCAACCCTCTACTTTCCTCAAAGATCCATTTAGCCTAACTATATGTAATCAAAGTTCCACAGAATTCACTTTACTTTACATTTACTTCCTCGTTTTATTTCACTAAATAAACAATAACTTTGTCATAGAAAATGAGGCAAAATTGCGAAAAACACGTCTGTCAACAGAGAAAGATCCCGAAGTCGGCGCCGTGACAACGCATAAATATATTATTTATTAATGTTGTGCCAAAGAGTGAAAAGGAAAAAGAGCGTTTCTGTATATATTCAAATCTTTATTTATAGAATTCCTTTCGCGACAACCTAATAGAACTACACCGGAAGTACTGGAAACAGTTTTCGTCTTCGGTATCTTTACCGACTACGATGGTTAAATGATTCTCAGTCATCTCGCTCGAATACAGAGAGCGCTACAAATCCACTGACTTTCCCCCGGGTCGGTATTTCAGTTTATAAGATACAAACGGAGGCAAATTATGCAAGTAAAAGCACAGACCAGATATACGAGTAGACCTTTCACCTAATGTATTTTTTCGGCCCGTTTCTCTGATCTCCCGGGACCCCATTACCATTTTCGTGTCACTCGCAACGTTATCAACAGATTTAGAAATTAACACAAGAGGAAGTGAGACAGAAAATAAAATTACATAAATTTTATTATTTTTTAACGGAATGAAAGCTGTATGGTCCAGAATTGAGCATCGATCGATTAATTTCATTGGAATAACCAATCGATTGAGATTATTTAAAGATTTCAAAATTATTAAAATACGTAAGGATCTCATTGATAAATACACCGCAAATCCTCTATTTTTTATTTTAAATTGTAATATATTATTTATTTAAAAACTAACTCGGCGAAAACGTATTTGCGACCCGAAATCAGTGTTATTAGACCGCACACCAGGACGAAGAAGGTATGTGGAACTATAAGAAGAACGCAGCCATTAGCTCATATTATTTGCTATGTAATTAATAATTATATTAATGACATAGTAAATAATAATCCCCAGATCTCACCTCGTGGAGGTTGCTGCGACTGGAGACCCACCCTAGCCTCGCCCCAACCACCCTTCCTTTGGCGAGGAATTCGAATACCTATCTAAGGGAGAAGCTATCGAAAAGTTAGAAATGAGCTAGAAAAGGAGAGTTCTTAAAAGAACTGCCCCATCAAGAGGCGAAGAACCTAACAAAATGTCAATACATGTGAGATGACACACATGTTTTCTAAAAACGAAATTGAAATGTGCAACTGCACGCACGAACTCTGACCGATGAAGAGATAAAAAATCTAACAAAATGTTGATACATGTGAAATAATCCATCACACGTTTTCTAGAAACGAAATTGGAATGTGCAAC